ATCTTCCCTAGGTTGAGCTCCATCTCATTAAAGATGAAGATGAACTTTTACCAAGAATCCCTTTTTACACATTGCTTACCAAGAGAAAGGTGAAGACCATGGAAAAATTTCTTATGTGCTCTAAGAGGTTCATGAGCATGGACAACAAGTTATGGTCAACTTAATGCATGCTAGGATGTGTCTTGAGGTTGGACTCTCAAATTTGAAACTAAAAAAGAACCAGGTCAATTTGGTCGAGCCAAACAACTAAACTGAGCCCATAAAATGTAGGCCAAAAAAATACTAAGACTATTTGACTCAATATTATTTTTCTTTAATGGGTCAAAGAAAGTGCATCCCACTAGAAATTTAGGTAAACCCAACCAACTTTTCACCCTTTTGTAAGCGACCATTTTTTACACTTGATGTTAGTCCTATTTAGATATTGGTTGCCCACCTCACAAAAGCATGTGACACTTGATGTTAATGCTCATAGATGAAGTATACAAGTTATGTCAACGACACTTAATACGCATGAGAACTAGTAAAGTCATTCATTGTTTACTATGAGTTTGACATGCATGAAGTAAAGAAATGCAATAAGTTACAAGGTTGACTAACGTCATGGTATGTAAGGTGCAAGTTGGTAGATGCACACAATGAACCTTGAATTTCAACTCAACTTGAACACACATAGGACAACATGTGAACATTTATAATGTGATTCTTCGTATTAACATAGCTATCAACTAAATAGGCAATTATTTTGAATTGAGATTAGCTTAATTGTGGCCTTTGAGGCAAAAATGAAGGTGGGGCTAGTGTCCCATGATGCAAAAAATGTCACCTAAGATATTGAATCCAAGCTAGATAATAGATAACATTTAAACCAAGTAATTATAGGTGATCATTCTTTCAAACACTCTTAGTACATATCAATCAATATTTAATGAAATTTACTACTAAAGATAAGTTAGCAAGACTATAAATACCATGATATTGAACACATTATTATATATGTTTCACCTCTTGATAATACATCTTATACCGTATGGTGGCCGACAAGGCCGAACGCCCGAACCCGCGAATAATCAGGCCGAACACCCGAGCCCGTCGATATTGAGGCCGATCACCCGAGCCCACCGACCACGTATAAACGAGGGAAACGTGTCGGTGTGGTCGGCCAATCTCAGTGCCTCTGCCAGGATGATTACGGATAGTTTAATTAGTGTAATACATCAGATTAGCCCCCTAATTTTCCGGGGCCCAATCCTTAATCATGGCCCAATACGAACACCTATAAATAGAGCCCTAACGAGGTATGTAACTAACTTTCAACTACCGCATTTATTACGCCGAGAACTAACTTGAGCGTCGGAGTATCTTTGCAGGCACCCCCACCTCGCTTCGGACTACCTGGACAAGAACGAGCAGACCGAGACCTAAGACCCGACCCGCTACGAGGAAGATAATTGAAGTGTGTATCCTAGCACAGGAACATTTGGCACCCACCGTGGGGCCGAAGAGACGTTTTCAGCCCCTTTTTACTCTACGACTGAGATCAAAACATGGTAGCAACGCGCAAGGGACAATCAGCAACGACTCAACCGATCCCTAATCTCGGGAGCAATCCCGTTATGACCAACCAAGAGCGTTACCCGTACGGAATGCCTCAAACACAAACCGAACCCGTGATACAAGAGGTTCAGCCTAATACCGATCATGCCCAGCCCGACCTCCAAGACGACTTGCGCGCATTGCGCGAAGAAATGGCCGTTATCCGAAGACAAAGAGAAGCCAACGCTAGGGAGTTGGCCGAACTGCGCCGCCAGAACGCCGAGCTTCGAAGCCTCAACCAGACATATGCGCCGACAACTCCCACTCTCCAGGAGGAATCGGCGTATCATGCCCCGACCGACCATGTAACTCGAACACCGGCCACCTCTTTGGTGGCCAACAAGGCCGACACCCATACTCACTCCCTGAGGCATCCTTTCTCTCGAAGAATAATGGAGGCAACCCTATTGGACCACTGGAAAAGTATACCAATCGACAAGTATGATGGGTCAACCGACCCCGAGGAACACTTGAATGTTTTCTTGACTCAAGCACCCCTCTCCACTCAAGACGACTCGGCTCTGTGTCGAATATTTCCCACGTCACTGAAGGGTAGGGCTTTGAGTTGGTTCACGAGGCTGCCGAACTCCTCCATTGATTCATTTAGCGAGTTATCATCCCAATTTACCCTGCAATTCGCGACGAGTAAGCCGTACAGGACGACCTCGTTGGCTTTGGCGGGGATTCGGCAAGAGAAGAAGGAAAGTTTGAGAAGCTTTATGGACCAGTTCAACAAAATCGCCATGGAGATAGGTGATCTTAACCCGGCCGTGGCCTTGGACCGGCTGATCACCGCTCTAAAGTCGGGGCCCTTTGTGAATAGCTTATGTAAGAAACCACCGGTCGACATGAATGATCTCCGGCGCCGAGCCGAGAAGTATATGCAAATGGAGGAGCTGGCGGAGACCCGAAACCAAGCTAGGGTTGAGGAAACTTACAACAGGAAGGAACAAGACCAGGAGCCCATGAAAAAGACAAATACCGACCCCTCGAATGCTCGTCCACCGAGAGGATCGCGCTACACAGCGTATACTCCTCTCAATGCGAGCAGGGCCAAGGTATTGGAGCAGGCCCTAGCATCTGAAATACTAGTGATGCCCAAGCGGGCGAACACACCTCCAAGGGCCGACACAGCTAAGTCGTGCCGATTCCATCGAAAACGGGGCCACTCAACAGAAGAATGCTCAGCGTTAAAGGATAAACTTGAGGACCTCATCAAGCAAGGTCACCTCGAAAAATTTGTGAGACCACAAGATCAAACAAGAGGGAGAGATCAACGCCCTCGAGAGGTACCAATGACTGGACACCGACGCCACAGGTCTCGATCAACCAAGAGGAGAGATCACACACGAGGTTCCCATGAAGACAACAATCGGCCGAGGAAGATAATAAACACAATAGCCGGAGGTTTCGCTGGGGGAGTTTCCACATCTTCCGCCCGGAAAAGACATCTCCGAGCTGTACGATCGGTAAATAGCGTTAATCAGCAGAGAACACCGAAGATGCCTCCGATCACTTTCTCTGACCGAGATTTCCGTGGCGTCGATCCCGTCCAGGACGACCCCATGGTAATTTCCATGGAGATGCATAATTGCATCGTGAAGAAGACATTGGTCGACCAGGGGAGCTCTGCCGACATATTGTACTGGAACACGTTTAAGCAACTCGAGATCCCAGAAGAAAGCCTAGAACCATACCACGAGCCTCTAGTAGGATTCTCGGGCGAAAGAGTGATGACGAGAGGGTGCATCGACTTGTACACTCTCTTCGGATTCGACCAGAAGTCCTCGAGAGAGATTAAAATCCGATACATCGTGGTGCATGCGAACACATCATACAACATCCTACTGGGCCGACCCTCAATCAATGCTCTAGGAGCAATTGTCTCGACCCCCCACCTGTGCATGAAATTTCTGTCGAGAGACGGGCAAGTAATCACTGTGCATGCCGACCAGAAAATAGCAAGGGAGTGCTACCTCTCTAGCTTGAAAGTGCAGCCCATCTCCGACCCCCCGACGACGACAAAAGGTGTGAATGCGGTCAGACAAGAGATGACCGACGGCATCGACCTCAACCCTCGGTTAGGGGAAGACGAGCGGATCGAAGCCGCCAAAGACCTAGTCCCATTCCAGCTTGGTCGAGTACCCGAACAGGTCACACATTTGGGGTCCCAATTGAGTGAAATCGATGCGAACCAGGTGAAGCGAGCAGTCTGAGACAATAAAGACTTGTTTGCATGGACGGCGTCGGACATGCCAGGGATAGATCCAAAGTTCTTGTGTCACCGACTGGCCGTATGCCGAGACGCCCGGCCAGTTGCCCAAAAGAAGAGAAAAATGGGAGATGAGAAGAGAAAAGCTGCGAACGCCGAGGTGCAAAAACTGTTACAAGCAAAGTTCATTCGAGAGGTCACCTACACCACCTGGCTAGCTAACGTGGTGTTGGTCAAAAAGTCGAATGGGAAGTGGAGAATGTGCACCGACTACACCGACCTTAACAAAGCCTGCCCCAAGGATGCTTATCCACTCCCCTGCATCGATCGACTCGTCGACGGCGCGTCCGGACACTCTATTTTCAGCTTCCTAGACGCATACTCAGGTTACAACCAAATAAAAATGTACCCGGCCGATGAAGAAAAAACGGCGTTTATCACTGAGAACGCCAACTTTTGTTATAAGGTGATGCCGTTTGGGTTGAAGAACGCCGGGGCAACCTATCAAAGGTTAATGGACAAAGTCTTTCGGGGTCAAATCGGTCGAAACATCGAGATTTATGTGGACGACATGGTGGTGAAGTCCAACTCCATGGCCGATCATGTAGCCGACCTGACCGAAATATTTGGTGAATTGCGCAAGCACAATATGAGGCTCAACCCCGAGAAATGCACCTTCGGGGTCAGGGGAGGCAAATTTCTAGGTTTCATGCTATCGGCAAGAGGCATTGAAGCAAACCGAGACAAATGCCAAGCTGTGATAGATATGCGAAGCCCGAGCAACCTCAAGGAACTGCAACGTTTTTCAGGAAGATTAGTCGCCTTGTCACGATTCCTCCTGCGTCTAGGCGACAAAATTAGCCCGATGACAAAGCTTTTGCGAAAGGCCTCAGCCTTCTCGTGGGACGAGCCATGTGAAGAAGCCTTCATGGCATTGAAAGCAGCACTAGCGACGCCACCGATCTTAACAAGACCTGATCCCTCGAGGCCACTTTTGGTATACCTGGCCGTGTCTGAAGATGCGATCAGCTCAGTTTTGGTGCAAGAAAAAGAAGGCACCCAAGCTCCCGTATACTTCGTCAGCCAACTCTTACAGGACTCCGAAACCCGGTACCAGCTGATAGAGAAGGCGGCACTCGGATTAGTGCACACATCTTGACGCCTCCGACATTATTTCCAGAGCAACCGAGTTGTTGTCCACACGGACTGCCCAATTTCTAAAGTCTTAGGCAAACCTGAGCTTGTTGGGAGAATGATGGCTTGGTCGATCGGGCTCTCGCAGTTTGACATCACCTTCAAGCCGAGAGGGCCGATCAAAGCTCAATGCTTGGCCGACTTCATGAACGAGCTACACCCTCAGGGCCAGTTCGAAAAGCACTGGTGGACCCTCCATGTTGACGGTTCTTCAAATTGCCGAGGAAGCAGAGCAGGAGTCATTCTCGAAGGACCCAAAGGGATAGTTTTAGAGCAATCCCTCTGCTTTCGGTTCAAAGCCTCGAACAACCAAGCCGAATATGAAGCCTTATTGGCTGGGTTGAGACTAGCCGAAGACATGGGTGCTTCGCGACTTAAATGCTTGACCGACTCTAAGGTGGTGGCCGAGCAAGTGGGCGGTAACTTTCAGGTTAAAGATCACAACATGATGAAGTACTAACATGCCTATCAGAAGTTAAAGGCAAAGTTTCAAGAGGTGTCAGTCAACCACATCCCGCGCGAGGATAACGCCCGAGCCGACCAGTTGGCTCGACTGGCCGCAACCAAGAGGCGGGGCCATTTGAGAACCATCATTCAACAGGAGATTGACCGCCCAAGTGTCGAGACGGAAACAATCGCAAACATCGAGGCCGACCGTGCCGAAATGAATGACCCTCCGGACTGGCGAGATGAAATAAAAGCATTTCTCACCAATGGAATCACACCAGCTGAGCCGGCCGAAGCCAAACGATTGAGAACACAAGCCAGCAAATACGTTGTCATCGCCGATCAACTGTACAGGCGTGGCTTCTCTACCCCATTGCTAAAGTGTCTAAACACCTCCGAGGCTGATTACGTGATGAGAGAAGTGCACGAGGGTATCTGTGGAATGCACTCGGGAGCTAGGACGACTGCTACTAAACTAGTACGAGCTGGTTATTACTGGTCGACCATGGGCACCGATTGTGCCATGTTTGTAAAGAAGTGTCAACCCTGTCAAAAATACGGCAACTTGATTCATCAACCAGCCGAGCAGTTGCATTGCATTCCCCCGGCATGGCGGTTCGCCACATGGGGAGCCGACATACTCGGACCTTTCCCAGTTGCCAAGGGACAATGCAAATTCCTCATCATTGTCGTGGACCTTTTCACCAAGTGGATCGAAGCCGAGCCCCTGGCGTGTATCTCGGCGCATCAAGTCCAAAAATTCTTATGGAGGAATATCATCATGCGATTCGGCGTCCCACACACCCTGGTAATCAACAACGGCCTTCAATTCACTGACCGAAAACTTAACGAGTTCCTGGCCGGTCTCGGGATACAGCACAAGGTCACATCGGTCGAGCATCCGCAAACGAACGGCCAGGCCGAGTCCGCCAATAAGGTTATCCTAACAGAATTGAAGAAGCGGCTAGGGGAAGCAAAGGGAACGTGGGCCGAGCAATTTCCCGAGGTATTATGGGCTTATAGGTGCACTCCTCAATCGACTACTCAAGAAACCCCTTTTCGCCTAGTTTATGGATCCGACGCGATGATCCCGGTGGAAATCGGAGAACCGTCATTCCGCCGAGCCCACTTCGATGAAGCAAACAACGAGGTCGAGCTCAGGAGAAACCTAGACATGGTAGGGGAAATTCGAGACCGAGCACTAGTAGTTGCCGAGGCCACCAAACGACGATACAAGAGAAGATTTGACAACAAGGTGAAACCTAGAGAATTCCGAGAAGGAGACCTCGTTTGGAAAACCACATGCGAGGCGAGGAAAGATCTGAGACAGGGAAAACTTGCCCCTAACTGGGACGGTCCTTTCCGAATCCGGCACAACCTGAACAACGGAGCATACAAGTTGGAGTACCTGTCAGGAGAACCGATTCCGAGAACTTGGAACTCCTCACACCTAAAGATGTATTATAGTTGATGTAATAGTGCACTCTTTTCCTTGACCGACTCTTTTTTCCCTAAGGAGGGTTTTGGGTCGGCAAGGTTTTTAACGAGGCACTCAATTAATACAAAGACGTCTTTGAATGTTATTTCGTTTTCTATTCAACTGTGCCTACGCTTAGGTTATAAATATGCAGGTCCGACCTCAGATAACGCTCATCGACGCCGAGCAACCCTCGGCCGACCACTCAAACGTGTGCTCGAGCCCAACAGGTTTCCCTCCCGAGTACCCTTCTCGGCTAAGGATGTACCTAGGCCGAGCACTGCACGTTCGCGTATCGACTCCGAGCAACCCCAGCCGACCACTCAAACATGTGCTCGAGCCCAATAGGTTTCCCTCCCGAGTACCCTTCTCGGCTAAGGATGTACCTAGGCCGAGCACTGCACGTTCGCGTATCGACGCCAAGCAACCCCAGCCGACCACTCAAACATGTGCTCGAGCCCAATAGGTTTCCCTCCCAAGTACCCTTCTCGGCTAAGGATGTACCTAGGCCGAGCACTACACGTTCGCGTATCGACGTCGAGCAACCCCAGCCGACCACTCAAACGTATGCTCGAGCCCAACAGGTTTCCCTCCCGAGTACCCTTCTCGGCTAAGGATGTACATAGGTCGAGCACTGCACATTTGCGTACCGGCGTCGAGCAACCCTGGCCAACCACTCAAACATATACTCGAGCCCAATAGGTTTCCCTCCCGAGTACCCTTCTTGGCTAAGGATGTACCTAGGCCGAGAACTACACGTTCACGTAAAAACGTCGCGCCCTCTTCAACCGAGAACTTTCAAGGTGCTCCGCACTATGTATCAAGTTCAATCCGAGAACTCCCTAGCCGAGTCCTCTCGTATATGCAATATATATTTTCAATCCGAGCACTCCCTAGCCGAGTCATCTCGTGTACGCAATATATATTTTCAATTCGAGCACTCTCTAACCAAGACCTCTCGTGCGTTCCGTAGTGTATCAAGTTCAATCCGAGCACTCCCTAGCCGAGTCCTCTCGTGTACTCCGCAGTGTGTATTAAGTGCAACTCGAGCGCTCCCTAGCCGAGTCCTCGCCAATACGCAATATATATTCAATTCGAGCACTCTCTAACCGAGACCTCTCGTGCGTTCCGCATTGTATCAAGTTCAAACCGAGCACTCTCTAGCCGAGTCCTCTCGTGTACTCCGCAGTGTATGTTCAATCCGAGACCTCTCTAACCGAGCATGTTGAACCCGGACACTAACGAAACAATCAAACACCGCGCTTCAATCACTGATCAAATCGCGGTATTGGCCCCCTCGGCCAAGTAAGGAGTCGGTTCAATTTGAAAATTAAGCACATAAACATGGCAAAAGAGCAAAAGGAATTTTATTAACTATGGCCGATCAAAACTGCTACTTACAAAAATCAAATGTCTAAAAGGCACTGACACCAACGGCCGAGCTTACAAAAAGGCGCTGACGACCCGGTTACAAAAAAATAACCTAACCATAGAGACCGACCCCTACGCATTCGCTTGCTCCATTGGATTCCCGTCGCCGACTACATCTATTACCGGGTCCTCCTCCTCGGTTGACTGCACAGTAGCCCGGCTAGACACACCCTGACGGGGGGCTTCGGCATCAGGTTGAGCCCCTTGAAGAAACTCGGCATAGCTCATAAACTTGCCACCTAGGAAGTCTCGGCTAACATCAAACTGAAAGTCAGCCGGGACATCACAAAACTGGTAAGCTTGCCGAACAGCATGTTGGAAGCCGGCGTCATGCTGAGCGAGGATTTGCTCGGTGGCTTCAGCCTCAAACTATGCGGCTGCCTCTTTAAGCCGGGTGATCTCACTTGCAGCAGCGACAGCTTCAGCCTTCATCTTTTGCATAGCCAACTTCAGAT